GATTCGAACCCGCCACCTTAGGTGTATGTGGCTGGCGCCTTAGCCACTTGAGCCACAGGCACCGAGCCAGCATTCCATATTTTAAAAAAAAAAGAAAGAAAGAAAGAAAAGAAAATAGGGCAGCGCCTGTGGCTCAGTGAGTAGGGCACCAGCCCCATACACCAAGGGTGGCAGGTTCAAACCTGGCCCCGGCCGAACTGCAACAAAAAAAAGCCGGTTGTTGTGGTGGGCGCCTGGGGTCCCAGCTACTTGGGAGGCTGAGGCAAGAGAATCACCTAAGCCCAAGAGCTGGAGGTTGCTGTGAGCTGTGATGCCACAGCATTCTACCGAGGGTGACAAAGTAAGACTGTCTCTTAAAAAAAAAAAAAGACAAGAAAACAAAACCAAACCAAACCTGGCTACAATTCAGTCAAAAGATTATGTAAGGGGACGGTGCCTGTGACTCAAAAGAGTAGGGTACCAGCCTCATATGCTGGAGGTGGCGGGTTCAAACCCAAACCAGGCCAAAAACTGCAAAAAAAAAAAAAAAAATCATGTGAGATCAATCATGTTCAAGGTGCCCAGCCCCATGGTGTCTGGCTTCCCAAAACAACCACCCTGGGAGACTGACAAGATGCCAGGGTAATTTTTAAGACAGGTGAGCTCTGGCCAGGCACAGTGGCTAGAGCCTATAATCCTAGCACTCGTGATGTGGAAGGATCCCTCGAGCCTAGGAGTTCAAGATCAGCCTGAGCAAAGGTGAGACCCCCGTCTCTACTAAAAATTAGAAAAATAGGTAGGTGTGGCAGTGGGCACCTGTAGTCTCAGCAACCCTGGAGGCTTAGGCAAGAGGATCTACCCAGGGCGACAGAGTGAGACACTGAGGGAGGAAGGGCAAGCTCTGTCAGTGATTATCTTTCCTGGAGTGTGATTTGGCCCAGACGCCAGTCACTCACTGAAGGATGCTAACCTGGTTTGTGTTCTTATCACCTTTGCTGACTGCAGCAGTTTTTTTTTTTTTTTTTTAAGAGACAAAGTCTCACTTTGTCGCCCCTTGGTAGAATGCTGTGGCATCACAGCTCACATCAACCTCCAGCTCTTGGGCTTAAGCAATTCTCTTGCCTTAGCCTCCCAAGTAGCTAGGACTACAGGTGCCCGCCACAACGCCCAGCTATATGTTTTGTTGCAATTTGGCCGGGGCCAGGTTTGGACCCTCCACCCTCAGTATATGGGGCTGGGGCCCTCCTCATTGAGCCACAGGCACCGCCCAACTGTAGCAGTTATTAACACCAACAAGTCCTCAGCTCTAACCAGACCACATAGCCCCCTCCCTCAAATGGCACATCCTCCGCTCTGCTTCAGTTATCAATGTATCCATGAACATGCTTGTGTGTACTAACCGTCTTCCCTCCCTGAGGATGGGACTCTGGTGACGTCAGGCCATGCCATAATCAAGACTGAGTCCCCACCTGAAATGACCAGAAAACTGCCCCTTGAAAAGGGCCCACTACCTACCCAATGTGACAGGGAACTGCTCCTCTTCCAGCCTGTGACAGGAAGGGGTTCCACTTGGCACCCTGTATTACTTGTAGAAACAACTTTTCTTCTTTTTCCCTCCAGGGGACCGCAAGTTGTTTTCAATCTCTTCAATCACGCTCCAGGCAATGAAGGTGGTAACCCAGGATGTGTTTCCCCCTCAGTGAGTCAGAACACAACACGGCCTCAGCAGCCCACCTTAACCCTGACCTCCTAAGGAGCCGCACAGCACAGTCTGACACACAGCAGACAGCCACACGGCACCAGACACTATGGTGCGGGAGACACACAGAAAGGCCCCCATCAGGAAACAGGACTACGATGCAGCTGACATCAAACGATTTTCACTATAATCAAAAAGCAGTGAAAATACCATCTCCATTAACAAAATCATTCTCTTTTCCAAGAATATTTCTACTGCCTTTGCCTCAGAGATGTCCTTTCTTTTCAAAAATTGTGAACATGATAGTCCCAACACACAGAAAAGGCAGGTCAATAGATGAAATATCTTAAGAACTCTTTCACACTTCATGATGTTAATAAAACATTACACACAGCACATTCTCACAGAAGCTAAGAAATGCCTCCCAAACCCCAGCACTGCCTCTTTACCAGTTTCCACTGAGGGAGAAAAGAAGTTAATGAGGGCCACATACAACAAAAAGAACATGTTAAAACAAAACCTTCGTTATTTTAACATTCAAGCTGTAAACATTTTTAAATCTTCAAAAATGAAGAGCAGGGCCAGGCACAGCAGCTCACGCTTGTAATCCCAGCACTTGGGAGGCCTCACAGGTTAGAGACCAGCCTGAGCCAAAGTGAGACCTCGTCTCTAAAAGTAACCAGGTGTTGTGGTTGGACCTGCAGTCCCAGCTACTTAGGAGGCTGAGGCAAGAGAATCACTTGAACCTAAGAGTCTGAGTTTGCTAAGACTCCACGGCACTCCACCAAGGGCAACATAGTAAGACCCTGTGCTAAAAAAAAAAAAAAAAAAAAAAAAAAAAAACCCAATAAAAACCAACTGCAGAGTGCAGGTTTTACAGCTCCTGTGCTCTCAGACACCAGCTGCAGGGCAGAGACAGGCACCGTGGACCTTCCACTTGGCTCACAGACACACCGTAAGCACCAAGTTGACACCTGAGGTAATTAACTTACCAAAGAAGTCAAATCTAAATGGGTCCCTTCCACCAAAAAATTCCCTGAAGACATCCTCGGGCTTACGGAATGTGAAGCCATAATCAAATGGATTGTCAAAATGACTTCCACCTGCAAAACACAATACAGCTTTTAGAACATAATATAAATCACAACCACAAAGAAAGTATTTTATAAATCTGGAGTCATCTAATTCAAAACATGGGTCCTGGATAGTTTAAACTGTGTGACCAGAGCTGAAGACAACAAGTGAGTGCCTTGACTCAACAATGTGACTGTCACAGCAGTGACCCCTCCCCTGCGGCTATCGTGTGCCCCATAATCAGTCTGCATCAACAGTGGGAGTTTGGCCAGTGGGATCAGAATAATAATTTCCAATTGTCCATGGTAAAGCCGGCTGAACACTTGATCCCAATGGGAACTTATCATGACAAATACCCAACTCCAGACTCCACCTGAGTTGATTATTTCGGTTTTCAGTAGAATCTGCTCTAGTTTAACCAAGGATATTTTGACAATGTCAAATATGCACGTAAAATACAAATATACCTTGTGTAAAATCACCAGGTATCACGGTAGGGTTACAAGTGACTGCTTCTGTACACAAAACACAGCAATATCCACATTCCAGTCTCACAAAGACTTAATGTATTTTTTAAGTAGTGTAAGTTTCAGGCTGGGCAAAGGGACTCATTCTGTAATCCTAGCACTCCAGGAGGCCAAGGTGGGTGGATTGCTTGAGCTCAGGAGAGCAACTGAGCAAGAGTGAGACTCCATCTCTACTAAAAATAGAAAAAATAGCTGGGCATTGTGGCAGGGCTCTATACTCCCAGCTGCTCAGGAGGCTGAGGAAAAAAGACTGCTCAAAGCCTAGGAATTTCGGCTACGACAGCACAGTACTCTACTCAGGGAAACAGAGTGAAACCCTTCACCCCCCAAAAAAGTATGAGTTTCTCTCCTCATCTCCCCAAATCTGCATCTGTTACTATACAGAGACTCTGATCAGAACTGTAATTCACAGTCCAAAAACACTCAAACAATTATACTGACTTATCAAAACTATCTCTAAAGAAAAAATTTATTTACATACCTCCTCCACCATTTAATCCTTCTTTGCCATATTTGTCATAGATGTCCCGCTTTTTAGCTAAAAATTGTAAGAGAAAAACCAATAAGGCAAAGTTATTTTCATACCCCTAAAATTCAATATATAAAAGTATTTCTCACATTTTAAGTCAGTTCTTACTTTTTCACAATTAAACATCAGGAAATTGTGCCACCTTTACTTTAAAAGTAAAGGGAGCAAAAGAAAGTCTTATGGCTCAGCACCTATAGCTCAACCGGCTAAGGCGCCAGCCACGTACACCTAAGGTGGTGGGTTCGAATCCCTAGCCCGGACCCGCCAAAACAACAATGACGGCTGCAACCAAAAAATAGCTGGGCGTTGTGGCAGGCGCCTGTGGT